AAATAGAAATTGATTGGTCAACTAAAAATATATAGAAAAATTAGCCAGGCATGGTGGTGCATGCCTATAGTTCCAGCTGCTCAGGAGACTGAGGCAGGAGGATGGCTTGAGCCCAGGAGTTTGAGGTTGCTGTGAGCTAGGCTGATGCCAGGTCACTCTAGCCCGGGCAACCCAGTGAGACTCTGTCTCAAAAAAAAAAAAAAAAGAAAAGAAAGAAAGAAACAGCCCTGAGGAACTCTGGCTGTTTTTACTGTAGAGATTTAGCAAAGGCTAAATCACACACATCCTTTCTGTGAAGATCCATGAGAGAAATATCTCTTATGCTCCAGCACTTGTATTTCTTCTTATTATTATTATTTTTTTTGAGACAGAGTCTCACTTTGTTGCCCAGGCTAAAGTGAGTGCCGTGGCATCAGCCTAGCTCACAGCAACCTCAAACTCCTGGGCTCAAGAGATCCTCCTGCCTCAGCCTCCCGAGTAGCTGGGACTACAGGCATGCACCACCATGCCTGGCTAATTTTTTGTATATATATTTTTAGTTGGTCAATTCATTTAGTATTTCTATTTTTGGTAGAGACGGGGTCTCGCTCAGGCTGGTTTCGAACTCCTGACCTTGAGCAATCCGCCCGCCTCGGCCTCCCAAAGTGCTAGGATTACAGGCGTGAGCCACCACGCCCGGCCTGTTATAGCTTCTTAAAGTGTTTTATAATAACAGTGAATGACCAAATAACATCTCAATAATCACAAAACGCAATTGCTAGGGTCCAAATTATGTCAATGGTGTGATTGGCTTAGTAAAGACACGATGTGGGCAATTGTTTCCTGGCTAATGTAGTGCCACCTTGTGGCAATAGCATAAACAACAGTTTATAATTCATTCTCCCACAGCTTTGAAAGTAATCTATACTTAACCAGTTAATTTTTTTTCCTGGCATTTGTATTGTTTGTAATTTACACATGGAGTGGCGCTTTGTTAATGTTTTTATATAATATAGCACTGTGTCAAAGTCACATAATTCATATTTGCATATGATACATAGTACAGAAAGGCTTGGACTTGACCAAGGCTCATGCCCAGTTGAGACATAAAAGCTTTCTTGTCTCTGTCCCACCAGTTTGGGGTCTCATAGGAGCTGGGGGATACAGTTCTCAGAAAGCAGTTGAGCCTAGGCGTAAAAGCCCATCAATAAGGAGCAGGTGACACTGCCACAGCTGAGTAGTTTGTCTCTTTGCTCTTCTACAGCACATTTGGTGATGATCTATTTGTCCCAGGGAATAGATGATGGCAGGTTTGTCGATATTTTACACTTATGAACCTGCCTGCTTCTCTCCGCCCGGCTCTGCCCATCTGTCTTTGTCCAAGGCTCCTCTCATTTCATTCTGCAGATTGGACAGCAGGCCTTGGCAAAGAGTTATGAAGGTGGATTCTGTGAGGGCAGCTTTGGGAAGCTATAGGGCAGGAAAGGATGGGTCAGCTCTCGCTCTGTCATCTGGGCTACAGTGCAGTGGTGTCATCACAGCTCACCGCAACCTCAAACTCCTGGGCTCAAACAATCCTTTTGCCTCAGTCTCCTAGGTAGCTGGAACCACAGGAATGCACCAACACACCTGGCTAATTTTTAAATTTTTTGTAGAGACAATAGTCTTGCTATGTTGCTCAGGCTGGATTCAAACTCCTGGCCTCAAGCAATCCTCTCACCTCAGCTTCTCAAAGTGCTAGGATTACAGGCAAGAGCCACTGCGCCCAGCCAGTATTTACACCTTTGTACAGCCCACTCCCACTAAGCAAGGCTGACATCTAACCAATGAGATGTGCAGACATGACAGAGTGTGACTTCCAAGGCCAGGTCATAAAAATGCTTGAAAGCTCTATCTGACTCTCTCTTGGATCACTTACTCTGAAGGAAGCCAGCTGCCGTGCAGTGAAGACACTTGAGCAGCGCTTGGAGAAGTCCATGTGCCAAGGAACTGAGGCCTCCCACCAACAACCAGCACTAGCCTGCCAGGCGTGTGAATGCCCCACCTTGGAAGCGGATCCTCTAGCCTCAGTTGAATTTTCAGATGACCATATCCCAAGCCGACATCTTGACTGCAACCTGGTACAAGATCTTGAGCCTGAACCATCCCAGCTAAGCACTCACTCCAGAATTCCCAACCCACAGGACCTGTGAGAGATAGTAAATGCTTATTGCTTCAAGCTGCTGAGATTTGGGCTGCTCAGTTAACCAGCATTGTGTATCACTGAATGCCACAAAGAGAGCCCAGGTCCACCCCCACCCCTCGCTTCAAGCAGGGCAAATAGGTTTAATCAAGCAAGGAAAAGATGCTGGGATGGAGTGGGGGTGTGTCCTGGGGAAAGAACTAGGGCCATTAATTGGGATGATGAAACCTTCTGGTTTCCCCAGGACTGAGGGGCTGAGGGGTTTCCTGTGCCGGAGGATATTCAGTACTTAACTGAGAAAGTCCAGGGTAAACTGGGATAAGTTGGTCACCCTAGCTGGGGAAGGGGTGGGGACCTTGAGGCTGACCTTTCAGTCAGCTGCCAGACTGTAGTTCATGTGGGATGGGGAGGGAGCCCTATGTCCCGTCTCTCCCTTCTTGGCAGTGCCAAGACGCACAGGGCAGGCTGCGGGTCAGTCCTCCCTCATTCTCTTCACTGCAGAGGGAAGGTGGGGCCACCAGAAACACCAAGGCTCTGGTGAGAGACTGCCACCAGCAGAGCCAGCTCTTCCCTGTCCATAGGTCTGGCTTCCTGTGGCTTGATTGCCAAATGCCCTCGACCACATGGCTAATGGGCCGCCGTGCACCCTCTGTTGGCATTATTCAGTGACAGGTCACCCAGGTGGCCCATTCCATTGTCAGAAAAGTATTCTTTGTCCTGAGAAGCTACCTCCATATAATCTCTACCCTTTGATAATATTGGACTGTGCTTTCTTCCTGTGCCCTTCACACACTGAGCACACATCGCACCTCTGAGGTTCCCCTTGCCCTTGCCTCAGTCTTCTGGCAAACTCCTACTCATCCTCTGAAGCTCAGCTCAGGTCCAAAGTCAGGACTCTCACAGGGCCTGGTGGAGGTTGCTTTTACTTCTCCGCACTCAGCCTGCCACACTGGGTCCCTGAGGGAAGAGCAGCTCCCACCACATGACGCTATTAACGTCTCCACATGCTGTGCCTCCATTTACCCATTTAGGTTTCTCCTGAGTGGCTGTGACTGGGGGACCCTGCTAAGATCACAGTAACTTTTATTTATTTATTTTTTTGAGACAGAGTCTCACTCTTTTGCCCCGGCTAGAGTGAGTGCTGTGCCACCAGCCTAGCTCACAGCAACCTCAAACTCCTGGGCTCAAGCAATCCTCCTGCGTCAGCCTCCCGAGTAGCTGGGACTACAGGCATGTGCCACCATGCCCGGCTAATTTTTTTCTATATATATTAGTTGGCCAATTAATTTCTTTCTATTTATAGTAGAGACGAGGTCTTGCTCTTGCTCAGGCTAGTTTCGAACTCCTGACCTCGAGCAATCCGCCCGCTTCAGCCTCCCAGAGTGCTGGGATTACAGGCGTGAGCCACCATGCTGGGCCCACAGTGATTTTTAGAATGAGGGCTTTTAGTGCCTCCGATAACCCCAAGGAGCAATTGGGCCCAGTCCTGTCTCTGACACGGCCTTTGTGCTTTACTTTGTTACCATACAGGGCAAGCCTATGGCTCACAGCCTTCCCCCTTAGCTAGCGATACAATGTAGCCTCCACACTGTTGTTTTCTTGTTTCTTCCACTCTGTTTTCCTTTCGTTCATTTATTTATTTATTTAGAGACAGGGTTTCACTTTGTTGCCCAGGCTAGAGTGAATGCCGTGGCATCAGCCTAGCTCATAGCAACCTCAAACTCCTGGCCTCAAGCAATCCTCTTGCCTCAGCCTCCCGAGTAGCTGGGACTACAGGCATGTGCCACCATGCCCATCTAATTTTTTCTATATATATTAGTTGGCCAATTGATTTCTTTCTATTTATAGTAGAGACGGGTCTCGTTCTTGCTCAGGCTGGTTTCAAACTCCTGACCTCAGCAATCCGCCCACCTCGGCCTCCCAGAGTGCTAGGATTGCAGGCGTGAGCCACCGCGCCCGGCCTCACTACGTACTATTAAATACTTCACAGCCTTTATGACAATTACCAAATATTTTTGTGCAATTTTTTCCACTTATTCAGTAAATATTTAATGTGTCAGGCAGAAGTGAGGGATAGGAGAGGCTCTTATAAGGCCTCTGCCCTGGAGGGCCTCCAGTCAGAGTGAGTGATGAAGCTGGGGTGGTGTGTGACTCAGGAGGCTGAGGCTGGAGGATCACTTGAGCCCAGAAGTTGGAGGCTGCAGCTATGACCCTGCCACTGCTCTCCAGCTTGGGCAACAAAGCAGGGAACAAGAAAGAAAAGGTTACTGGTTAATTTGATTTTGTGTCTCCAGGAGGTCTGGGGCTGGTTCGCACAGGGCCCAACCTGGCAGACTCATATTTACTGAAGGAACCAGAAAATTAAGCTCTCCACTCCCCTACCCCAAGCACACCAGGAGGGAACCACTGGTCAGTGAGTGCATATTCTTTTGGGAAGTGTGTCCCTGCCCCTTTGGAAGAGATAAGGCCCCTGGGCCTCCCTAAGGGGTCTGCAGACTCCCCATTCCTGCTCCTGTCTGCGACCTGGGGGCTGGATCTGGGGGCTGCCAAGGGATTAGTTTGGAGGCTAGCCAAAGAGCTGGGCAGGGCAGGAGGGTGTGAGGCCCCATGAGGCTCAGGCGAAGGTAGAGGGGGATGGAAAGGGAAAAAGAGAGGGTGGACAGCGTCCCTGCCGCCGAGCTTTGCCTACCTGTTTTCACTTGGTGGGGAGTTTGTTCCTTTGATAGTGTGATAAACCCGGCCTGTGCACGCCCTTCCCCTGAGAACCGCACAGGCGCACACACCTGGTATGCAGTTCGGGGGGCTTACTGACCCGCTGCACCCCTGGAGTTATTGTTCAACGCTCCCATTTTACCAGGGTGGACACTGAGGCCCAGAATGGGCAAAGGGCTTGCTCAAGCTCGCAGAGCTGCAGGGGCTCAGGGGACAAGAGCCCCGACTTCCGTCCTGCACCTACGGAGTCGGGGCACGCCCAGGGGCAACGCCCACCTGGCTGGGAGCGGAGGGAGCAGGGCGAGCCCGCGGGGGCGGGGCTTACGCATGCCCCACCTCCGCCACCGGGCTTGGGGCGGGGCCTTCCTGCAACCTTCGCCGCTCCAACATGGCTCCGCGGCTGTGCAGCATCTCTGCGGCGGCGCGGCGGTGGCTGGGGGGCCCCGGGCCCCGCGCCAGGGACCTTGCAGCTGCTGCGCGGTGAGAGCCCAGCCTGGCGGCAGCGGACGCGCACACCTGGGGGAGCGGGGGCGGGGGCAGGGCAAGGGTCTGGGCCGGGGGGAGGGGCTGGCTGAGACTCCACGCTTGGAATCCAGGGGCTAGAGGTGGAGCCAAGATCTAGGCCTAGGGAGGGGTCTGGACAGAGAAGGGGGAGGTATGGGCAAGGTCTTTGTCCTGGTGGGGACCTGGGTCTGGGCAGAGAATGAAGGATGGTGAGAGGGGCAGGTGCTGGACCCTGGAGTGTGGGAGGGGGCAGAGGACAGGGGGAATGGCCCCCTTCCCAGGCCTTTGCCTGTGATTTAGCACTCACTGGGGGCTTCGCAGAGAGGGAGCTCCTCCCTTGGGAAGTTCTGGGGGAAGAGATGAGGTCAGGGGAGCAGTGGGGCATCTTCAAGGACCAGGGCTGCCCACCCTAAATTGTACAGGTGGGGCCACAGAGATCTGAGAGGGGGTGGGAATTGTCCAAGGTCACTGCCCCTGCTGTGCAGTAGCAGCCCTAGATCTGGGACCCAGGTCTCCTGACTTACCGTGCACTTTGCACCATACTGGTGGCCTCCTGGGAGAGGGAGGTTGGCTGGGCCATGTGCTCAGCCTGGGCTTTTGTTTGGGCTCTGCTCTGGACAGAGGCAGGGCTTGGCCTCCCTGACCAGCTGTAGATAGCCCCTCGCTCCTCCGTCTCTAGCACCCTCTGCTCCCCCCATCTTTGCACTTATCACCCTGTACACTTATGGCCTGGTGCTCGCCTATCTCTCTCATTAGACTGTGATCTCATTTTTCTGTTTCCCCAGTCCCCCAACCCCAACGGGGCTAAGGACAGTGTATGCACAAAGAACATTTGCCAGAGACGTGAGGCCACCTGTTCCCCCACCTGTGGAAAGGAAGCAGGGGTCCCTCCTGCCCTGCAGCCCATGAATGAAGCTGCGAATTCTGTTAGAGCTTACCATGAGATGTTAGAGCACAGTGCAGTGGTGGGGCTTTTGGGCAGCTTGGGAAAGAGGAGTGGGCATGGGCATGTACCTCCCCAACCTGGACTGCCCAGTAATTAAGGGCAAAGCTGACATTGAGACGAGCCTGGAGTTTGCCTGACACCAACAAATCTAACTCAGCGGTTCTGGGTGGGTGACCTTGGGCAAGTCATTTGGCCTCTTCAAGCCTCAGGTTCCTTATCTGTAAAATAAGGGTAATAAAACAGTGTATATCTCATAGGGTTGTTGAGGATTAAAGAGTCCGAGGTTGTGAAGTGTTCTCGCACTTGGTAAACAAGCAGGAAGTGTTGCCTCTTGCCCAAGCCTGTGTCTCAAACAATTTCTGCATGAGACCCACATAATCTCAGAGTTGAAAGGGCCCTGGGGACATCATCTGCTTTGAGCCCCTTGTTTTCCAGGTGAAGAAATCCAGGCAGGGTAAGAATAGTTGGTGGTATAACCATCTGTGTGGCAAATACCCAGAGGCTACAGAGGGAGCAGATTGAGAGGCAGCCTGCTGCTCCTCACTTCAGGGTAACCCTGGCTGAGTCATGAACCTCTGTCAGCCTTGGTGTCCTTCTCTGTAGAGTGGGGACGGTGATCCCTGCGTGGTGTGTTTTGCAGGATTGCTGTGAAGACACTTGGGCTAATACTTACGAAGTCCCTCAAGGACTGCTTTGCAGTTATGTACGCTTTGGTTCTATATTGGATAACTGAGAACGTTCCCTCCTGCCCCGTACCTCTCTGGAGTCACTAGTGGGATCAGCCGTGGCCCTCTGGCCCTGATGTCTGTGGGCAGTGAGTCTGCTGGGGTGAGAACGGAGTGTGGACTTTGAAATTAGGTGGACCTGGATTGAGACCTTCTTGATTAACCATCCTTGAATATGATGTGGAACATCTCAGAGCCTTATTTTTCTCAAAAACATTTTATGAGGATTAGCTCTTAGCATACAGTAAGTGCTCAATAAACAGCAGTTAGGGTTACTGCTGCACCAGTAATCTTATTTATTTATTTATTTATTTTGAGACAGAGTCTCACTTTGTTGCCCAGGCTAGAGTGAGTGTTGTGGTGTCAGCCTAGCTCACAGCAACCTCAAACTCCTGGGCTCAGGCAATCCTACTGCCTCAGCCTCCCAAGTAGCTGGGAGTACAGGCATGTGCCATCATGCCCAGCTAATTTTTTCTATATATATTTTTAGTTGTCCAGCTAATTTCTTTCTATTTTTAGTAGAGACAAGGTCTCACTCTTGCTCATGCTGGTCTCGAACTCTGGAACTCCAATGATCTGCCAACCTCGGCCTCCCAGGGTGCTAGGACTATAGGTGTGAGCCACCACGCCCGGCCTCTATCACATAATTTTCTAAGGGCTGCACAGGACTCCATATATGGATGTAAATTTTTTACTTTTCTCTCTTACACACATGTGACTCATGTAACCAATCTTGTTTCCTTCTTGGCATTTGCTGTTGGGAAGCTCAGAGCCAAATTTGAAGCCTGCCTCTGGCAATTGTATCTGCCTGGCCTGATCTTTGGCTTTATCTTATTCTTCCTGCTTTTATTCTTTGTGTGACTTTTCCCCCCACCCACTTACATTTGTTGCCCTAGCTGTATTTCTTCTTACACAGTTATAGATCCCTTACTTAAAGGCTATTTAAATTTATTTGTTTTTCTTTGGCCAATACTTTATATAACAAAGTATTCTTTAATATATAATTTATAAACTTTGTATTTTGAGCTAATATTAGATTTAAAGCTTGCAAAAATAGTAGAGTTTCCCTATGTCTCTCACTCAGCATCCCCTAATGTTAACATCTTACTTAATCATAATACGATGATCAGAATCAGGAAATTAACATTGATATGCTACTATTAGCTAACCTAAAGACCACATTCAAATTTCACCATTTTTCCCATGACTGTCCGTTTTCTGTTCCAGGAACTTATCCAGATTCCACATAGCATTTGGTTATTTCTCCTTAATCTCCTGTGGTCTATCATGGCTCCTCAGTCTTTCCTTGTTATTCGTGACCTTGGTACTTTCAAAGAGTATCAATAAAGTATTTGTAGAACGTCTCGCAATGTGGGGTTTGTCTTGTGTTTTCTCAGGATTGGACCTATGATCTAGATGCATCACATTGTTGGTGGAATAGGGTGGAGAGAGAAACTAAGCAAACTAAGAAGTTCCTGTCTATCTGTAGCCTGGGGCTCAGGGAGTGACTTGACTCATTCAATGTCACCTAGCCCCGGTAACCTTTGCATAGTCAGGAGGCTTTACCTACCTTGTTTCCCTGAAAATAAGACAGGGTCTTTTTTTTTTTTTCTTTTTATTTTCTTTTTTTTTTATATATATATATTCTAAGACAGGGTCTTATATTTATTTTTCCTCAAGAAGACACCCTAGGGCTTATTTTGGGGGGATGTGTTATTTTTTTTAAAGTATGGTACAACAATCTACATTTATTCAAATATAGTTAAGTCGTCTTCTTCTGGAACATCATCATAGTAAAATGGCAGCCACAGCTTTCCTTCTTACCCCTGGGGACACACAATACCTAAAGCAGAGCGTCCAGCTCCTCACTTCACTGAGGGGACTTTCCCCTCAAAGCCTCAGCTTGCAGCACGTGCAGGATGGCCGCCTCGTAAGCTACACACAGAACAGACAACACACAAACAAGAGATCTGATAAAACCAGCAAACCCTCTCCTCAAAGAAATGCACAGATGCACAGAATTTAGCATATAGTTTTATGAGGTTCACAGAAAGACCTATCCAAAGCACATCTATGATTCCACAGAAAATCACCCTAGATACTGAATGTGAGTTCCAGATTGTGGGTGGCACCTTTGCCAAAAATAGAACTACTGTATTTTTGGCTGCTTTTGCTGCATATTGACATGAAGCCAGCCTCCTGGGCGGAGGATGTTATAAGAAACACCCCAGGCTGGGCGAGGTGGCTCACGCCTGTAATCCTAGCACTCTGGAGGCCAAGGCGAGAGGATCACTCAAGGTCAGGAGCTCAAGACCAGCGTGAGCAAGAGCAAGACTCTTGTCTCTACTAAAAATAGAAATTGATTGGTCAACTAAAAATATATAGAAAAATTAGCCAGGCATGGTGGTGCATGCCTATAGTTCCAGCTGCTCAGGAGACTGAGGCAGGAGGATGGCTTGAGCCCAGGAGTTTGAGGTTGCTGTGAGCTAGCTGATGCCAGGTCACTCTAGCCGGGCAACCCAGTGAGACTCTGTCTCAAAAAAAAAAAAAAGAAAAGAAAGAAAGAAACAGCCCTGAGGAACTCTGGCTGTTTTTACTGTAGAGATTTAGCAAAGGCTAAATCACACACATCCTTTCTGTGAAGATCCATGAGAGAAATATCTCTTATGCTCCAGCACTTGTATTTCTTCTTATTATTATTATTTTTTTTGAGACAGAGTCTCACTTTGTTGCCCAGGCTAAAGTGAGTGCCGTGGCATCAGCCTAGCTCACAGCAACCTCAAACTCCTGGGCTCAAGAGATCCTCCTGCCTCAGCCTCCCGAGTAGCTGGGACTACAGGCATGTGCCACCATGCCCGGCTAAGTTTTTCTATATATATTAGTTGGCCAATTAATTTTTTTCTATTTATAGTAGAGACAGGGTCTCGCTCTTGCTCAGGCTGGTTTCGAACTCCTGACCTCGAGCTATCTGCCCGCCTCAGCCTCCCAGAGTGCTAGGATTATAGGCGTGAGCCACCGCGCCCCAGCCAGCACTTGTATTTCTAATGGGAGACTGGTTTACATATTTTGTTTTCTTTCTTTCTTTCTTTTTTTTTTTTTTTTTTTTTTTTTTTT